GTTTCAGGCTGGACATAAGGAAGAATTTCTGTACTGTCCGAGCCCCCAAGGTCTGGAACAGCCTGCCAACAGAGGTGACATTTAACACCTTCAAGAGCAAATTGGATGCTTATCTTGCTTGGATCCTATGACCCCAGCTGACTTCCTGCCCTTCAGGTAGGGGACTGGACTCAATAATCTTCTGAGGTCCCTTCCAGCCCTAATGTCTATGAAATCCATGAAATCCAGGAGGGGGTGGGGGGAGGGGGTTCGCCTATGCTTGGACAGCAGCATTGGGAGGGGAGTTGGGGGAGCTATGGTGAATTTTGGGATAGCTGTAGCCCCTCCCGTAGCCCTCCTCCCAGTGCTACCACCCTAAGAGTAGCCTGGCCCAGGCCCAGACCCAGGCCCCCTGCTGGGAAGAGCCTGGAGCAGCCCCTGCCCCAGCCTGCAGTGGCAGCCCACCCTTGTCCCATGCAGATCCAGGACACACACCCCAAATGCCTCCCAGAGTGCATGCAGCTGGAGAAGCCACGTCGCCCAGATAAGCCACTTGCGGATCAGTCCTGCACCCCACCCCAGCTGTGCAGAGCCTGCCCTTGTCTCAGCCCCACTCACTCCCTCACCACTGTGTGTGCACCCCTCCCCACCCCAGCCACTGGAAGCCCGTGGCTGGGCTGACTTGTGGCCCTACTGCTGCCCTGTGTTTCGGGGGGGGGGGGGGAAGCAGGCTAAGCCCCAGTAGCCCACCCCTTCCACTGCCTATGGCTGCAGGTCACCTAGGAATACCAAGGATCCAGCCAGAATCTAAAAAATGATAATCATGTGAGACTTCAACTACTTATAGACACAATGGCCAAATGTTTCCAGTCTTACAATGTAGAGAGAAACGATGTCTTGGCCTGCAAATGACAGCACCTTGAAATAGCTACAGGGGGGATCTATTTTCACCTTATCCAATGCAACACACAGAAGTTGATTCAAGGAGATGCAGAACTATCAGAGATGGAGCTGTCAGAATAAGAGAAACCAAAATAATCTAATATAAATTTAACCACTTTAATTCAGCAAGCTCAGATGGCTGACAGCTGAAGTCATCTGTTGGCAAAAGAATGCAATCTCTCATTGAAATCAGTTGTTATGCCATATGACCAGAACACAGTAAGAGTGCTCAGAAACCTCCTTTGGCTCCACACGGGCATTCAGCAATGCCTGAGGACTAAAAGGGGGGTGTACAACCAGTGGAAGGGAGGAGCTATCACCAAGGAGGAGTACTACTCCTCAGCCTGTGAGTGTAGGAGGGCTATTAGGAAGGCTAAGGCAGAGATGGAACTCAGGCTAGTGTCCAGGATTAAGGACAACAAAAAGTCCTCTTTCAAGTACACTGGGAGCAAGAAAAGGGCACCAGG